AACCCATTTCTATAAATCGAAAGGAGACTGCGACCATACCAGAGGCCACAACATCTTGGTCTTTATATCTTTTATTCCTTAAGCTATAGTGAATATGGTAACATCCCCCTTCTTACATCAATTAACCATTGATGATCCTTTAATAATGGTGTCTATTCAAATATGTGGAATTGTGTATGCAGGATACAATTCCGGTGAGGCGTGGTAACCCTAAACAGACTTGAGGCTATTCCAGCCTATTCTAGCTTAGCTCTTCTTCCTGCTCGCTCTTTCTCTCTCTACCCTCCTTAAACCTATTCAACAAGCATAACTAATTCCTACTTTCTTTTCTACACTCGTTTCCCCTATTCAGGATGTTAGCTGTTTTTATTTAGCTCTATAGGCTTCTCTAAACGCTTGCTTACAGCCTGTACAATGTTGTGTTTTGGATCATTCTAATTAATCATTCCTGAATTTACCATGTATCACTTAATTCAGATTTTTTCATCCATTTACCTTCACAGTAGGTTTTGTGTTAAGATAATCTCTTCTGAATGAATCGACTTGTCTCTCCCTCATTTTCACTTACTCATAAACATAAAATCGAAAACTCTCGAAAAGAATGCATGACTGAAGAAAGGGTTCGTTTCTCCTTATATACTGATTTGATGCCTAATTGTTTTAGTAATTCACACAACCTTTTCGCAAGCTGACAGGACAGCAAAATCAGAAACCAAGTAGAACAGTCTATCCGCCTATCCCGCTCTGGACAACAATTTCCCCCCGTTCTCCTTATAAACACTCAAAAATAATTATCTACAAACCCTAATAGATAATGATTTTGAATATGCTTGTCCCTCAAACTACCAATTTTCCTATATCAGCAATTTACATCTGCTAGAGGTAGACTACTTATAATCACCGATTTCATAGTTCATACAATTGCTTCATTGGTATTAATAGAAAGGAGTTAATAGCCAACTATTCCATTAAATTGAATTGTCCTTAAGGAATTCTTCAAAAAAAGCTGTATGTATATGAGATAGAAAGTATTCGCAAGTAATACAACTCCTAATAGCAGCATAAGTACAGATGTAGGTTGCTAATTTATGAATCCCGAAATTAGTTAGCCTTATCGAGGCGAAGAAAGTCCTAAAGTTTCATATTAATTGCTAACTAATTGGACCTAAGCATGTGTAGGCAGGAGCCGCAGTAGATCATACAGAATGAGAAAAATATCTATGCTATTCATAAACAACATTATCAACAGGTGACTATGTACAGAAGGGATCTAGAGTAAGAGCAAAAGCAGGGCTCACCTCCAAATCCAGAGATCTGTGTTTCATCGCGTGATTAACAATGAACTGGTTGTGAGCGGTTCTTTCACCATACTCACTCCGTCCGGCCTCTAAAGGGTCATAGATTGTCAGGCATCTGCGTACTCGATGTCGCTCAGCTCTGCACTCCAGGGCCGAAGTGGGCTTCTTTTTGCACCGCAGTCGTATGGGAGTCTGAAATTTCGGATCGTTGTTCACCCGATTTATCTTCTCCACAGTAGACAGGGGAAAACGCTCAAACTGACTGCTACGTTTACGAGTTGGTGTAACTTTTCGGCCTTCATCCAGTCTGCGATTATCGAACTTGGACACCCTCTTCTCGAAGTGTCGTCGCTTCAGACCTGACAGTAGATGATGGTATGCATGTTGAACAAGGGCCTTAACTGTCTAGTTCATTATGAAACAAAAAGGTGTGACCTTTCGTGTGCGAGATGGAGGTGTTCACAGTTTGTCGTGAGTCGTTTTAAAAATGC